AAATGTTTATCCCCACAGTGACACGAGAAATAAAAACATGGAACACACACACACGCGCACACACGGCCTACAGCAACATCAAAGCAGTGATTTGTCTGCACCAGGCCAGCTCTCTGTGAAGGATGCAAATACAGGCGCTGGTCATATAATTAGAATATCATTAAAAAGTTGTTTTATTTCAGTAATTCCATTCAAAAAGTGAAACTTGTATAATGTATACATTCATTGACTGATATATTTCAAGTGTTCATTCCTTTTAATTTTGATGATTATAACAACAACAACTAATGAAAACCCCCAAATCAGTATCTCAGAAAATTAGAATATATATATATAGAAAAGGTTCAATATTGAAGACACCTGGTGCCACACTCTAATCAGCTAATTAACTCAAAACACCTGCAAAGGCCTTTAAATGGTCTCTCAGTCTAGTTCTGTAGGCTACACAATCATGGGGAAGACTGCTGACAGCTGTCCAAAAGATGAACATTGACACCTTGCACAAGGAGGGCAAGACACAAAAGGTCACTGCTAAAGAGGCTGGCTGTTCACAGAGCTCTGTGTCCAAGCACATTAATAGAGAGGCGAAGGGAAGGAAAAGATGTGGTAGAAAACAGTGTACAAGCAATAGAAATAACGGCACCCTGGAGAGGATTGTGAAACAAAACCCATTCAAAAATGTGGGGGAGATTCACAAAGAGTGGAGTTTTTCACAAACAGTTTGAATCATCGCAATTAAACGAAATAAACATTTGAAATATCTCAGTCTGTGTGTAATGAATGAATATAATATCCAAGTTTCACTTTTTGAATGGCATTATTGAAATAAATCAACTTTTTGATGATATTCTATAGGGCTGTACATATCGATTATTTTTCAAGTCAATTAATCTAACGATTTTTGATTAGTGGATTAATCGAACGACTAATTTTGTTTATTCTAAAGAAAGAAAGGTTGCCTATTACTCAATTAACATACCAATTTATCCAAAATAAATATCAAAAACATAGCAGCTGGTCAATATGCAAAAAGCGCTCACCACAACCCGCAGCCCACAGGGGGGTAAACGTTACTGTGGAAACACAGCAAACACACAGACACAAACATTCAGGCAGCCATCTGAATGTTTGAGGGGAGAGCAGTTCACGCCAACACACGAGCATCCGTGCACCACAGCCACAGCCACGACCCAGCGTCACTCTGTCCCCCTATGAAAGGCAGATTGTGAGGGCTATTTCTGGAGGGCTGCAGCCCTGCTCTGGAGTGATGGAGGAAGTGGCTGCCCACAGGCAGGCACTGCTGGCAGCATCACACACACTCCTCTCTCTTCCACTCGCTCTCTCGCTTTCAATCTGAGACATTTCTATTTCCCCTCTGAGCTTTATGCCGCCTCATGTAGACCTTCACTTGCATCCACACTTTTGGTAGAGAATGCACATGTGAGCCCCACAACAAGTCACAGCTTTTTGTCACGATAACGGTAACACCTACTTCACTACTACAGCAACCGGCTGAATCAAATTTTGAATGAATGTCCAAAAATTTTGCCAAATTGATCTCACTGTAAGACATCTTCTAGCCTGTGGGTCCTAGAATTGTCCCCATTTCGCCACTAATTTCCTGTCATCATTTATTGTCGATGAACAACATAAAATACCCTCACCCCTAAAAAAACATATCTTACCTCATCTCCGAGGTGAGTATGTTTGTATTTTAGGAGAGGGTGTTATAGATACAATTTTCTGTCACGTTATATTTAAATAACATATATTGTGAAAATTCAATAAGAAACTATTTATGGATAAAAGAATCAGATAGTGTTGTCAGTTTTTGGCCAATCCAGCAAACTGAATCCACGACAAATCAAAACTGGTTCTTCATCACTGATACAAAAATCATATCAAAATCCAATATTACCATAAAGCAGTTGTGCTCACTGATTTCCAACACTGCCAACAATGGCTCTAAAATTACAATTTAAAACAGGACCTATCTGATGAAAGAATACCTAAAATGAGTATGAATCTGAGCATAAAATAAAAGCCAGAGATCTGATTTTCAGCCTGGCAGATGAAAATATGTATCGTCACTTCATTAACTCAAATGTCAAACAAACTGACAAAGCCAGTGATAAAACTGGTGTCAGAAGTGTAATATGAAACTATTTTGCTTTTAGGGGCGATAAACAACCGACACCACAATCACTGCTGCAAAACTGCCCCAGGCAATTGTTGTGATGTTCCTAGCGTGACTGCAGGCTGTAGGGGTGTGTGTATCAGAGGCTGGGCTTCAGGGGACAATTTGTGAACCAGAGCTGTCACTCCTGAAAACAAGCATCCTGCACTCTGTTCAGGGTCAAACTGCACCGCCGGAGCCTCACAGATGGAGCTACAATAGAGCCTGTATCTAAGCGTCTGTGTGTGTGTGTGTGTGAATGCATGTGTGTCGCTTTACTGTCTTGAATGAGACCGCCTCCGATAGTCTCGCACACACACAAGCACACGCCCCTTTCTTGGTTTTCAGACACACACAGGGAGACAATCTGGATTCTCGCTCTAAACATGAGTCTCCCTCGGGTCCTCTCCCCAGTTTCCTGTTTGGGCCTCGGACTGTGTATCCATTTAGCTGCTGGGTTCTCGGCACAGTGGAGGAACTGCTGTCAAAAAACAGTGACGTGCATTTCTCAAGAGACCCTTGCTAGGAGGACCACACCCCAGAAACTATGGACTCTTCCCAACCCACAAGCAGCCATCTTGGCTCTGATGGTAGAACTTAGCATCCAGGTTGAACACAATGTGAGCAACCTAAAACCTTAAATAGCAGGTGAAAGCAAGATTCAAGCCTCTACCCCAGGGTTAGCGTCTGTCAAACTGGGTGAACCAAGAACAAGAGCTCGATCTAAAATCAAAGAAAAACTGTTCTGCCTGCAGAATGTTCTGTTTGTAAACACCCACAGGGTTTCTGTTGGTGACGGCGCCCTGAGAGGCAGATGAACAGCGATGATGTCAGTCCTGAAAACCTGTCAGGGCCTACGCTTGCAAAACATTCCACTGTCTAAGTGACAACCAGCAACCACTCACTCACACACACGCACGCACACACACACACACACACACAGACAGGATGTTGCATGAAATATTTACATGCAAGAGGAAACTCTACTGTGCTTCAGAATTCCTGGTATTCTTATGATCAAGGACCATTCATTCTTGAAAGTAGCCAGGTGTTTTTCTTAACAGTCATTTGTAAAAATTCAAATACAACCAAAATTGATTGTACACATGCATAACAATTTGGGAAATCGAGACATTAGATCCTAAATTCAACACCACCCCCTGACATCTACTACTGACACTGTAGCACACACTGATGATTGATTGGTGTGCTATCAAGGGGAACATGCCCACATATACAAAAACTGCTATTAATGGTAATACGTTATCGCAAGACAAAACAATCAGAGCATAAGACAACATCAAAAACAAAGACAGTGCGGAAGTGTATTGATCTAAGTGCAGAGGATGTTCTTAGTTAATGATGGCTCTCAGAGCATCAAATGATGATGACGATGATGATGACGATGGGAATAATCTCATTACAGCTACAATATGCCTCCACCTAGAAACTTTAGAATGGAGTTTCTGTAAACAGTGAGGCAGCAGTAGTGGGGCAACAGCAACAATCATCATCACCCTTAAGTGTTTGGTTTTACAGGCATGGGAGCCTTGATTCATTAAATCCATTGCGGCTTTATTGTCTGGTTCCCAGATGCTTTTTACAAGCTTGCTCTGCTCTGCATTGCATTCAGGCAGGAAGGAGAGTTTCTGCAGCGTGTGCAGTGTCCACATTATAACATCCTGTATTCAACCCCACTGAGAAAAAATACAATATGCAATAAGTGCGTTCGTGCAATCAGAAAAGTGATGTAGGTAGCTCCAGCATCAGCCAGATAAAAGCCAGTTCTCTGCCTGCTTTTAGCCGCAGAGGGCTTGTCATGTTACAATTGGCCTGTTCTGAATAAATCATAGGCAAAATTCCACTCTAAATAAAATACTCAACCACGTTACAAGCTGCATGCTTCCATCGGATAGGCGGGTTGAATATTTCATGATAAAACGGGCCATTATACTGCACAGATCTAGGCCAAGGCTCAGGCTGAAGGGGCGGGGGGGCTCAGATAACGGTCCAAACCCCGTCCCAACAACACAAGGGAACAGAGCTCCGGTCCGAGGGGGCTCAGGGAGGGGCAAAGCCATCTGGGTTAATCCACACAAAACACAGACAAAGAATACAATCAGCAACTCCGCCGAGGAGAAGCATCGATTTCCAGTTAAAAAAAATCAAGTCCAAGCTGAAATCAGCAGGGTTTTCGTGGTCTGGCTGTCCCATGTAACGTTAACTGCTCAGGACCCTGCAGCCACATCACTGACAACTTTCTGTCCGGCAGACAGTTCTGCTCTAAAAATGATAATTTTAAATGGCGACAGTTGCAATTTAAACATTTTTTAATGACAGACGTCTAGGGAAGATGCAGCTGAAACTGTGAAAGGGGTAAATAAATCCGTCTTAGATCACAACCGACCAAGCAACCAACCAACCCCCCCCCTCCCCCCTCTCCCCCCTCCCTCGCTCAGAGCTAGCCCGGCTAACATTAGCTCTTAGCAAATAAAGTTAGCCCAAGTTTGCTGTCAACAGAGTAAGTCAGTTTGTTTTGCTAAAGCTAAAACACCGTCCTGAAGTTGAGCACTGCAATGGAGTTGAGCATTTCATTTTTCCCCAAGTCAGAAATGCAGGACAGCAGGCGACAGGCTAGCATTTAAGTACACTAATCCCATGAGGCCTGCGCGTCCCCGGCCCAAAGTTGACCGCTAACTGCCAGCTGACAGCGCCTTGACACGGGGAGTTGTGAGTGGCAATCCGGCCCGTCCCCGCCTCCGGTCTACCCACGGCTAATAATACGCCGTTAAAGCTAGCAGGGCAGGCTAACTCAAGCACCCACCTCGCTTGTCGAGGTCGTAACCGACCACTAAAAAGTAGTCGGCAAGCCTGGCCATCTTTGGAGCTCACGGCGACAGGCCTTTCTCGCTAAATCCTTTTCTCTTTTTGCCGTCAATAGTCCATTCACGTCCTACCGGCGACAGACACATCACGGGCGACAGTAGCATCCTTCCAGCTGCACCCCGCCGCCATACTGTCAGTCTGCCTTGCCCTGACAGCGGAGAGCCACGAGTCTGCGCACTGAGGGGCTTCCAGGGAGGGGCTGCTCGGCAGGAATGTCCCATGTGAGGAGCCAAACCAGCTCAAGGGCCAAGTGTCTAAACCCAGCAGTAGGCTACAGTCGCTAGAGGCGTAAAAAGGTGGTGTCGATTCTAGGAGCACAAAACTGAGGAGGGCCCACAAAAAAGTTATTTTTAAAACGAGCATCTTAGAGCAATATTATTTCAGGGTTGCCCTGAATTGCACCCTATGCAACAGGCTCTCATTAGAGAGTTGATAACTTAATGTATTATCCCATTAAAAAAAATTACCTCTCAAACGCTACGACTTTGATAGCCCTGAGTCACATCAGGTGACTTTTTACCACTTATTTACCAAATTAAGATGAATAATTAATGCCCGAATGATGTTAAACCAAAAGAGGGCTGGTTGGCCCTTTTTAATTTGGAGTGTGGCAATTATCCCCTGCTCAGCCAAGGAAACTGCACCTCATGCAGTTTGAATCTTTTCTTTCTGTGGTACATACAGGGAGGAGCAGCATGGCAGGAATGTCCACACCAGATCAAGTCTGACTTGAACTGGATGGGTTGAATGATCTGTTTGCCCACTGTGTATCAGGGAAGGGAGTCCTGAACCCACAGTTTTTATCGGTTGTTCAGTAGGTGGGTGTAGTCATGTATGGTTGTTTGGTGCAAAGTATGGTATTCTCAAAGATTTGGTGAAGGGGGTGGTTTTAGCATGCAGACTTTAGTAACTGTGTTGATAATTGTGTTCAAGTTGTTGTTTAAATTATAGAGAATGAAGTATAGCTAAGACTAAAAGTAAACACTCTTTATAGCACCTTTCTTGTCTTTTCAACCACTCAAAGCGCTTTTAGGGGCAATTCGGGGTTCAGTATCTTGCCCAAGGACACTTTGACATGGGAGAGCCAGGGATTGAACCACCGACCTTCGATTAACAGCCAACCTGCTCTATCTCTTGAGCCACAGCCGACTAGGATAAGTTCACATTTTTTTTCAAATCTATTTTAAAACAACACTCACACCCACACAAATATATAGGTTGAGAGAATTAGTGGTCAGTGCAATCATTCCAGCCCTCCAGTCCTGAAGAAATTCCAATGCAAGATTCCACTGTCCTCTATCTAGAAAAGAGGATGTAGCTGAATTATAAATTGATTTGTTTGAGTTCATTTGTTATTTGTGCATGTGTCTTGGAGAAGAAAGAGATGTGGTTGGTCTGTAAAAGTTCAGCTGTAATATATTCTGTTTGTGTTGTAGCCAGGATCCTGATGAAAGATCCAGCTCTAATGTGGATTGCGTAGCTCCGCTTCAGTTTTGCTTGGAAATTAGAAGACTGGATGATATGCTGGAAACATGTAGTCAGTTAAAAGCACAGTTCAAGCCATAATTAAAATATCATTGGAGTACTCAGTCCTATGTTTTACAGACATCCAAACAAACAGACACAGTGCCAAACCACTTTACTTAATGAAACATACTTTTACAGCTTCAAGAAACATAAAATGTCAATGAGATAGATTTCACCAAACTGCTTGGGCGGCATTAATCCAAGTTTCTGTAGCCAAACAATTTCCTCCAATATGCCACGTCTTTTATCTCAGATAATTTCCCACTATCCCTTTCTGGTTGCAGCCTTCAGTAGCAAGCAACCTCAGTGAGGGAAATATAGTAGGTTATCAGAAATCTTTTTATTTTTGGCTGTGAATTGTGCTAAGTAAGGGTAAAAAAAAATCTTGGCATGATGCTGTCCCTTTGGATAGGCAGATAACATGTCAGTGGCATGTGAGGAAGGCCTGACTGCTCACATCTGTGTGGCCTGTCAGCACTGTTACAGCATCGAGACAATTCCAACACTTCCTGCACTGTGACCTTTGACCTAAAGTGCTTATCATTCTCTGGTTGAAAACAATCCTGAGCATGAGATGTTAAATTTTTCTTTAAGAGCTTTGTTTTCCCAACACTCAGCAACAACTTGTCTTTCTTACTCAGTTATCTGAGACTCAGGCATGAGTGAGTGGAGGACACTCCTGCTCTTTGATAAACACGGCTTCTGGCAACCAAAGCTATGTTAACAGGAGATAACATGCATCTCCAGCCAGTCTGTGAGTACTGTTTTCAGGGAGTCATACGAGGTCACCACTGCGGTTTAGATTCTTACAGTTGACGTTAAGTGCATCTTAACCTTGAACCACACTTGACACATTGCCGGAGAGATGGCCAGTGGGTGAGAAATAGAGATAGAGACGGGAGCAGCTCAGACTCTCCTCAGGACAAGGATACACACATTAATGAATCTGTCTTTGCTAGATAAACTTGAAATGTCCAGTAATGTCCCCTTTCACTTAACAAAACAAGTTGTGCATTAAGCTGGAAGACTGTCCTCTGGTTTTCTTTAAAGCTATTTTGCATTTCTTTGGCAAGTTGTGCTCATTTGCTTTCTTGCCAAGAGATAAGATGAGACATCAATACCCCTCTTATGTCTTTGCAGTAAATATGGAGTTGCAGCTAGCAGCCGGTTAGCGTAGCTTAGCATAAAGACTGGAAGCGGGGAAACAGTTTGGCTGGCTCTGTCAGAAGGTAACAACATCTGCCTACCAGCACCTCTATAGGTAAATGAACATGCAATGTTTGTCCGCACTATAACATTTTGGGTTGTACACAAGCGGTCTGTGCAGACATGGGCAGATGATGAAATTCAAGCTCACTAATTAATGTCATATGGTTGCCTGGCAACTCCACGGTGACAACAAAACACCAGAATAGTTACTGCACCCGGCTAAGAAATAGTCCAGCACATAATACCCTGTATGTTTGATTTCATCCGTCGTCAACCGCTTATCCTGCATACAGGGTTGCGGGGGGGCTGGAGCCAATCCCAGCTGACATCGGGCGCAATGCGGGGTACACCCTGGACAGGTTGCCAGTCCATCGCAGGGCTGGCATACCTGGAGAGAACCCACGCAGACACGGGGAGAACATGCAACCTCCACACAGAAAGGCCGGGGCAACTAGGGTTTGAACCCATGACCTTCTTGCTGTGAGGCGACAGTGCTAACCACCGCACCACCGTGCCGCCCGTATGTTTGATTTAGCATGGATTAAATAAACAAAGATATAACATCTTAATTAATGAGCTTTAGAGGTGCTAGGTGTTAGGTGGCTTTTGTTGGGTTTGGACAGAGTCAGGCTAACTGTCTCTCCCTATTCCCAATATTTTTTAAGCTAACCAGCTGCTAACTGTGGCTACATAGGTGGACAGACACCAAGATCAGTCTTGGCAAGACCGCGAATAATAATAATTAGGGCTGACCCCAAATAATCGAAGGTTCAATGTTTTGACGGGCAGAGCCTGATTCGACTGTCAGTCTCACAGTGGAAGCTTCGCAGTGAAACGGGGATCATGCCATTTTGGCAATATGGGGGTGCTCAACGTCCGAGACTTGACAATTCTGATTCGACTATGTAAATTCTTAGTCGGGGACAGCCCTAATAATAATATTGTACTGTTCCATTAAAAATCAGGATTAAGATCTCCACGAAATGCAGACAATACATGAGCAAGCCAGATTTTTTCAGGCCTGCAATGAAATTTTTTTTTCATTATTGATTAAGCTACTGATTATTTTCTTCATTATTTTGTAAATAAAATATCAAAAAATAGTGAAATGGTAATGCCATTTTAAGGCACCTTCAAAATCATTGTTTTATCTGACCATCAGTATAAAACCCAAACATTTTCAGGTTACCATCATAGCAAAGACAATCAGCAAATTCTCATATTTGTGAAGCTGGAGTCTTCACTGAAATGATGAATCAATTATCAAAATAGCTGCTTATTAATTTCTGTCAAATGACCTACTATTGAATTGTTGCTGCTCTAGATTTATTTAATTCAAATAGTTTATAGAAAATAGCATCTGAACCTTAAACTAATCATTTGTTTATTGGCTCATGGCCTACAAGTCTGTTTTTTTTTTGTTGTTGTTGTTGTTGTTTTTTTTTACCTCTGACAGACCCAAAGGGTCAAAGTATATAAAATTCCCAATTTAGAAAGCTCACTTTAATCCAGAGATACACTCTTGTTGGAATGATGATTTTCCAACATGCACAAAAAGCAGCATAGGCAGGAAGAAATGTGAGATATATGAGGCAAGTATAGAGCCACACTTGGTTTGCAGACTTTTACAGATAATATTTAAAGTGTGTTGCAAATGCTATTTTAGTAATATGTCACCATCTTAAGTTTTTTCCTTTTTGTCACCTTTTTTTTCTAGAAATCAGTCACTGATTCTGTCTTATTAACATCTGCAGCCCGATCCGTGCACAAAGCAACTCTCTGCAGGATGCACCAGCCATGTGACTTCCTGTAGACTAACCAACAGACAGGAAGTGGTCTGAAGGCCTCTTGCACATCACTGCTCTTCATGGGGTTATTCCAGCAGTCGACTTCCCTTCAGCTCAGGTGAAGCATAGCAGATGACAGCGCTTCATTAAGCAGGCATTGGACTCATTAGTTTTATTCCCCAAAGTGAATGCTTACAGAGTCACAGCAGTGTTATAATATGATACTGTCACTCCAAATACCTGCACGAGTGTAACTAATGCAGGTGTATGTACACAGATACACAGACTTCCTTATCTCATGTATCTCACTGCTGTAATTGGAGCCCCTCTATTTCCGCACACACAAATGTAATGTGGCAAAAGACTGTGTATACAGTAAACTGCTGTGATTCCTGATTTGTAACTAATGTGTTTTTACCCATAACACTGAAGGAATGCTATGTCTCCTGCAATAAAATAAAAATGATTGTATTGTATTGCAAGTTCACTTCAAAAAGGCAATAATGTATCCAACAACATTAAATGGCTACCCCAGCAATTTAATATTTATTTTTTTATAAAAGTTGGGGGGCTTGTGAGAGACAGATAAAAAAAAAAAAAAAAAAAGAAGAATTAAAATCAAAGCAGCAGAT